ACATTTTTTCATGTAGTGAGGTAGACTTAAAAGATTATATTGAATGGTGGCACGTAGGCTTACACTCTCTTCTCATTCCAGTTGCAAAACATACAGAATATCATCCACCTGACGAAGGAGTACATCGATGACCTCAACTCTCGCTTTGCCGGTTTCCAGCACCCCCCATCTTTATATCTCACGGTAAGTTGTGCTCCGTCCATTGGGGTCACGGGATGGTCAGCCTGGTCATGATGGAAGGGCCTCGGACTTAGACTTCGCCCCTGAGGCACCTCTGGATGCCCAGCCTGCTTTTTGTTTGTTTTTAGTGACCTTGTTACAACATATTGATACAGTATGTAACACATTCCTAAGCCAGCCATGGACTTAAGGTCCTCCTTCCCCACAAAGAAATAAGCAGGATCTGGGCAAAGGATGCTTTGGGCCTCGTTCCTTGGGATAGTACGTTTGGGCCAGAAGGGAGGGAAGCCCAAATTTGCAATAAGTAAAATAAATAAAGTTTTCTTCTTGTGGGATTTGTCAGAACAGAAGTTGTAAACTGTGCTATCATAATCCAGGAAACTTTTAACAGCAGTATAAAAATAAGGAAGAAAAGCCAAGATACTTATGAAGCTCTGTATTTGTTTTAATCTGATTCTTTTATCCATTATATATACATATGTATATGCATATATATATATATATATATATATATATATATATATATATATATATATATAATATATATATATAATATATATATATATAAAATATATATAGATATATATAAAATGTGCATCATCGTCGTCCTCGTCGTCGTCGTCGTCGTCGTCATCATCATCATCATCATCATCATCATCATCATCATCATCATCATCATCATCATCATCATCATCATCATCATCATCATCATCATCATCATCATCATCATCATCATCATCATCATCATTACTACTACTACTTCTATTACTTCTACTACCACTACCACTAGTACTACTATGAACACTAGCATTACTATTAGCACTAGCACTACTACTACTACTTCTACTACTAGTAGTACTAGTACTACTACTAGTAGTACTAGTACTACTAGTACTAGTACAACTACTAGCACTAGTATTGCTAGCACTAGCACTACTAGTACTAGTACAACTACTAGCACTAGTATTGCTAGCACTAGCACTACTAGTACTAGTACTTTTAGCACTAATACTAGTACTACTTCCCCTTGTACTTCTACTTCTCTTATGAACAGCATTATCTTTATCAGTTAAGATTCCTCTGGTGACCTCCACCATCATGCTAGTCCTAACCCCTCCCCCCCCTTTTGCAGGAGTACACAGAGCTAACTGGAAAGTTGCACAGATTTGAGGCCAAGGAGCAAGAAATACTAGAGCAGTTGACCCTTGCAACTGGGCAGACCGCGCAGACTAATGGCTGTCACGAAGACTTACCTGAGGGGCAGACGGCAGCCTCTGCGGAGGAGGCGGAGCCAGGCTATCCGCCCATGACACAAGCTTCCAGTGAGTACTTGGGGGCGCTGGGTTGTCTTCCTCCTACTCATGAGCTTCTGAGCGCTGGCTTTGGGAATGAGTGTGATACTTTGTGTAATGTTTTTTTTTTTTTAATTTTTTATCATTATTGCCTGAGGTCATACCGCTTTTCTTTTCGTAGTTGCAGTAATTGATGTTTTCTTCATCCATAACAGGTAGTAATGGTGTATGTGAAGAGGTGGCACGTTCCACGCCACAATCTCCCCTTCGATCGGTTGTACGGGCGCATTTGCCCAACCAGCAACGCACTACAGTACAAGTGCAGCCAGGACGTACTTTAAAAGAAGCATTAGCAAAGGCTCTTAACTTCCGTAAACTTTCCCACGATGTCTGCATTGTGTACAGAAAAAACAATCCTAAGGTAAGCGAAGCACTACATGTACTAAGTAGATAGGGTGTATTGGACTATATTTGTTGGTATATGAAATGGTGTTGCTGTTGATCTTATTCAAATCATTTGAAGTTTGTTGTTGTTGTCTATTTGAGGAGCATAAATGCAAGTGGTTGTGGATTGGTGGAGTTATTTTTTCCTTTCCCTTTTGAGACGTTTGGTGGTAATGGTATAAAGGCATGAGGTGGACTACCACTTGAATTGCATCACTCCCGCTCCCCTCACATTAACATCTGTGATTTCCTCGGTTCAGGTGCGCATGTCTTGGGACTCGGACATCGCGGCGTTAGAAGGAGAGGAAATTGTTGTGGAGGTTCTAGAAAAGTTTCCTGTAACAACATCCATCTCCCACAATTTTGTAAGTTTGACTTCTTGTGTGTGGTTTTTGTTTTTATACATGCACCCAAATTTTTTTTTTTTGTCATGCTAATAGAATTGTGATGAACTGCATCTCAATTACATTTCTTCTGTTATGTTGATTTAGTAAGGAGAAATTGATATATGTTTTGACATAAATATCTGGTTTTCATGCAAGACAGTTAGTCTTATCTTTTTAGTATCACTAGAATCAAATTTCTTAGGATTAATTGGCTTGTAAGTGAACAAAAACTGATGTGGGTCTGGTCCCTCTTTCAGAATAGAAGAACATTCTTTTCTTTGGCATTCTGTGATAACTGTCGACGACTTCTATTCCACGGGTTTGTATGCCGTACATGTGGCTATCGCTTTCATCAACGCTGCTCTGTTGGAGTTCCAACGCTGTGTCAGCAGGATCAGCGTATTACAAATAATATCTACCAGCAGTGAGTTTATTTTATTATTGTTATTGCCTTGGTGCCTAGAAATCTGGAAGTAGATAGGCAGTGCCTGTGGAACAAATGTGATCTGAGTTGTGCGTGCCCTTTGGCAGGGGTTCCAATAGCCTCATCGGATTCTTTGAATGGGCAAATTAGGCAAGATCTCTATTCCTTTAGTGGGACCAGCTTAAGATTACTCTATCTAGTGAATTCATCATGAATACATACTTTTATAAAGGTACCCTTTCAGAAATTTGATATTTCATTTCATGGTGTAATGGATGACTTGGGATTTCAGCCTAGATGCCTTTCCAGGTGGTGTGTAATCCTGACATCATATGTAGATATCAGTACAGTAATACCAAAGAAGGTTTTTCTACCATACATCAGTACATTTGAATAATGCACGATGATTTATAAAAAAAAAAATCTATGCCCCATAACCTGATTTCTTTCTTTTCCCATCTTGGCACTTTCTCAAAACTTATAATAATTATCCAATCTCGAGAACCTTTTTTCCCCTGAAAGACCTTAAAGATACACAGAGAGCCATATTTTAGATTTTGAAAATTCGGAATGATAGGTATTTGGTGAATAAGTTATCTATGGGACCCATAGTATATATATTTTTTTAGTCAATATAAATTAATTAAATGTTTTTTTTGCTACTTTTGTATAAATTATTTTTTTTTTTTTACCAAAGTTGGGAGGAAAAAAAGACAACTATCGGTCTTGAGGATTCTAAAAGAAACCTAACCAAAAAAGGAAAGACAGCAAGGAAAAAGGTTGATATGGCCATGACCATTCCTTCAGGTCAGATTTAGAAAGGTGTCCAATAAGGATCTCATCATCCCTGCTAAAACCCATGTCAAGAAAAACAAAAATCTGTGAATTCATTGGAATGTTACCCTGATATGAATGCCTAAATACTACTCTTACCATTCGGCAAATAGCATGATCTGTGGAAGGATATTTTTGGAATGATTTTTACATGATTTGTATTTTACCAAAAAGAAATGAGAAATAGTTGGATTAACCACTCCCTGCCCCCCCCACAGTTTATTAGCGTCGTATCAAGATAACCCAGCAGGAATCCTGACCACAACAGTGTATGGAGGCCCCCACGGAGCCCAGTCTTCGCTATTAGGTCCCTATGCCGGCCATTATCCCGGTGGCTATGGTGGCCACTACATGGACAGTTACAGGAACCAGTATCCTGGCCAATATTCCAGCGGCGGCAGTGAAGGGCAGGTGCCGCCCCCACTGCCCCGGCCTGCCCCCGCCCCCCTGGCCCCGAGGGACCGGTCCTCCTCGGCTCCCAACGTGTGCATCAATCTGGTCAACCCTTCCAACCAGTCAGATGCTGGTGCCTCGTTGGCGGAGTTTGCACAAAGGATTGGCAAGAATTACAATCCTACAAGTCCAGGTAGGTTGATGCACTGTTGCAACATGGCTGGAGCCATTTCAGGGTTTTTATATTTATCATAGATCTTGATATGCGTATAGGAAGTTGCATTTATACTGGGAAGTATTTGGATTGTTTTAACTTCATCTTTTCTTAATTTGAGGAAGAACCAGCTATATTTAGTTCAAGAAGTATTGAAGTAACTGAAGGGAACTGAGTCGACCTAACTTTTTGGATTTAATTTGTCTTTGGAAACAAGTGACATTTTTACACTCTTGCCACATGGACCCCCAAATTACCTCAAATGCTTTTATGCACTAAAGTTGATGCCAAAGAACTTTCACTTCACCAACTTTTGATGTTTTATGATGTAGGACATGGAGAGACTTGGCCACAATAAACTCAATTTGTCTTTTGTCAAACAGCTTATATTGCACTTTTGATTTTCTAGATTTTTTATGCTTCACTCTGATAGGGCATCTCTCTAGATTTTGCTTTGTATGGTCTATAAACACACACACACACACTCACACTCACACTCACACTCACACTCACACTCACACACACTCACACTCACACTCACACTCACACTCACACTCACACTCACACTCACACTCACACTCACACTCACACTCACACTCACACTCTCTCTCTCTCTCTCTCTCTCTCTCTCTCTCTCTCTCTCTCTCTCTCTCTCTCTCTCTCTCTCTCTCTCTCTCTCTCTCTCTCTCTCTCTTTCTCTCTCTCTTTCTCTCTCTCTCTCTCTCTTACCTATCTGTCATACACACAATTTTTGTTGTTGCAATTGAAAATGTTTGTCATGATTTCCAATTTTAAATTTTGTTAGATATTTGCATTGTCATCAAAATATTGGACTTCCAAATTGATACCTCATTATCTTTTTTTTTTTATTATTATTCAGTTTTGATATTCCTTTTCTTCCCATTATAAATGTATGCATAGTGAAGGCACGAATGTGAAACGAGGCTGTGGTCCTTATGAGAGCTTTGGTTCGTGGCTGTCACAGAATGTTCGGTTTGTGCAGAATGCTGTGCGAGTTTGTCACGATGGCATGAAGGGCGGTCATCCTCTGTGAGACGGAAGAACTCATGCTTTTGGCTCTGTTGATTTCCTTGTCCTGTCCTCTGCCCTCTTTGCTTCACTCCCTCACTTGGCTCTTGCCGTCATGGGCTCTCTCCCTTTATGATTTTGTCCCCCCCCCCCCCCCCCCCCTCTCTCTCTCTCTCTCTCTCTCTCTCTCTCTCTCTCTCTCTCTCTCTCTCTCTCTCTCTCTCTCTCTCTCTCTCTCTCTCTCTCTCTCTCTCTCTCTACTTTTCCCACCTCTCTCTCCTTTCCCTCCTCTCTCCCTTTCCCTCCTCTCTCTCTCTCTCCCTTTCCCTCCTCTCTCTCTCTCCCTTTCCCTCCTCTCTCACTCTCCCTTTCCCTCCTCTCTCACTCTCCCTTTCCCTCCTCTCTCTCTCTCCCTTTCCCTCCTCTCTCACTCTCCCCCTTTCCCTCCTCTCTCACTCTCTCTTACCTATCTGTCATACACACAATTTTTGTTGTTGCAATTGAAAATGTTTGTCATGATTTCCAATTTTAAATTTTGTTAGATATTTGCATTGTCATTAAAATATTGGACTTCCAAATTGATACCTCATTAACTTTTTTTTTTTTTTTATTATTTATTTCTCTAGAGCATTTCTTAATTTTGTTGCTGTAGACATTGTATATTTTCTAAAATCAAGTTTGTGTCAGTTCTCATTTCATGGGAAAGGAAAGAAATTTTGCAATGTGGTAATGTTTTTATTTTCATTTTTTTTTAATTGTGAATATGTGTTGGTAAGTAAGGATTGGTTTATGAAGGAGGGATATTCAACCAAAATTGTTTTCATTCTATACATTGCAGTTCAATTGGTGAAAATCTATTTTTTTGTTTGATATATTTAACCCTTGTTATGATAGGCCTTTTTTTCTTTGATTTTTTTTTTTTTTATTATTATTCAGTTTTGATATTCCTTTTCTTCCCATTATAAATGTATGCATAGTGAAGGCACGAATGTGAAACGAGGCTGTGGTCCTTATGAGAGCTTTGGTTCGTGGCTGTCACAGAATGTTCGGTTTGTGCAGAATGCTGTGCGAGTTTGTCACGATGGCATGAAGGGCGGTCATCCTCTGTGAGACGGAAGAACTTGTGCTTTTGGCTCTGTTGATTTCCTTATCCTGTCCTCTGCCCTCTTTGCTTCACTCCCTCACTTGGCTCTTGCCGTCATGGGCTCTCTCCCTTTATGATTTTGTCTCCCTCTCCCTCTTCCTTTCCCTCCCTGCTTTCTTTTGATATCTTCCCTCCTTTTCTGTACTCTCTCATATCTATGTATTAACATATTAACTTCCGATGCATTTTCAAGTCCCATAAGCTCATAAGGGTTTGTGGTTGCAGTTCAGTCACACCGGGGTTGACGGCTTCCTTTTGGAATGACATGCAAAATCTTGGGCTGACTGTTGACCCTAGAACAGATCTTATTTGACCCGAGGAGGTCATGAAGGTTGTAAGAGACTCAGATGGTAGCCTGCTTTCCATTTGGGATTTGTGCACCTGTATTCTCTGATCAGATTTTTGTGGGTTTATAATTTGCTGTTTTCCGAGAGCATTGATGAGTAGGACCAACAAGCCAATTTTCCCGGTATTTGGGATACATGTTTGTGTATTATTATTATTATTGTTATTACTTTTTTTTATTATTTATTTCTCTAGAGCATTTCTTAATTTTGTTGCTGTAGACATTGTATATTTTCTAAAATCAAGTTTGTGTCAGTTCTCATTTCATGGGAAAGGAAAGAAATTTTGCACTGTGGTAATGTTTTTGTTTTCATTTTTTTTTTATTGTGAATATGTGTTGGTAAGTAAGGATTGGTTTATGAAGGAGGGATATTCAACCAAAATTGTTTTCATTCTGTACATTGCAGTTCAATTGGTGAAAATCTATTTTTTTGTTTGATATATTTAACCCTTGTTATGATAGGCCTTTTTTTCTTTGAATTTTTTTTTTTTCTATATCACAATAAGGGCTACCTTATATGTCAAAAAAGTCATATGCTTTTAAGAAGATAACTGCTAATGATAAGGAGAAACTAAGGGAAAATGTTCCTACTAACTTTTATCCAATATATGACATTTTTTCTCAAATAACGAATGTACTTGAGAAACTTTTAAGAAAAGAGGGAAGAAGCCTGCAGGTAAGAGAGTTACTAAACAAGCTCATAAAAGGGATATCAGTTTAATCTCTCTTGATATCAGATAATCCATCTTCTGTTGGCATTTACAAGCTTCAGAAGACTTTAGCTGCACTTATAAGGAGAATGTTATTCACGCGTACTTCTTTCATGCTTACTGTGTGCGCAGTCCTTGTAGTGGGTTGTTGATGTCTGTGTAAAGACAGCCAGTATGTAGACGTTTTGTATGAATATCTGTTGTGTTTCTTGATTTCTTAATAAAAATATACATATATCTATGGTGGAACAATATAAAAGATTGCAGCTTTGATTTTTTTTATATATATACCAAATACTTATATATCTTTGCAGTAATCTACATACTGGTCCATATAAACAATACTCAAAGTTTTCAGTGTCCTTTTTTTTGTTTTTTTTGTTTTTGTTTTTTGTTTTTTAATGATTTCTATTGATGTTATTAAATGGATCCCCTTGTAGTTGGGCAAGACTTAGCCGTGAAATATTTGTAAAATTTTATATACAGTTGTTCCCTTTTATATGTTTCTGCAAATTTAAAACAGACTTGGCATTGTCGTACATATTTCTTAATTTCCTTTTTTTTTTCCTTTTTGTATTCAATTTCAATAATACATCTTGTTCTGTGGAATATTCAGTTTTAGTTGACGGAGGAGAAGGCCTTTTGATCTTGAGTTGTGGAAACGTCATGGTTTGCTGTGTACGTTTTTACGGTTTTTGTCGGCAGTTCAGTCCAGTCAACTTTTTTTTTTCTGCAACTTTTTGTTATTGTTGCTGACAAGATAAAAAGAATTGTTGCTGATGAATTTGTTAGACCTAAATTGTTGCACACTGCATAAAATTAATTATGGTAATCCTAGCTTGAGCATGCACTGATTAGGTTCTCATTATAAGCACAGAGTAGATTTTATTGTCTCTTTTATCTGTTTAGTTTAGCTAAAGAAAGATTAAAAAAAAAAGAAAGAAAAAGGAATCAAGCTTTTTATACTCTCTGGCACTGCATATGATCATTATTACTAAAAGACGAGCTCTGCTTACCAGCACCATGTTGAATTTAGCACAGGGATATTTACCTATCAACGTGGGGTTGCGGAAGTCACTACTGCCCTTGGGGATGTCTTGTCTGTACCTTTTGGAATTCTTCTCTCGGAATATGTTCCAGGTGTCATTCGGAAGGGACTGGAATGATCACATATAAATATTTCCGTTCAGATTTTTGGATGTCACGTTGAAAATTTGAAATGTGGGCTTGATTGATTTTTACCTTGAATATGTATATATGTATGTACTTGGTTTGTTTATTTTTTATACCCCCATACCATGTTTATGATCCTTTATTTGCTGCTAAATAGATGAAGTTGATAAAAATTTGTACATATTATTTTGTAGTATGGTATTAAATGTAATTCTGCATAGACATGATTGACAGCTGTCAGACATTTTGCTTAGATACATTTTGATTTTGTCAATGAATCCTGTTTGCTTTCCATGCAGTAGAGGAAGCAATTGACGGCCGTGATGCACAAGTAGAATGTGAGGTTATCAGGTATAGTAGCAAAGGAGGAGGAGGAAGAACCTGACTTGTAGTTAACCATGAAACAAGATTCATTTTCAGAACACATGAGTCTGTTTAAAGATGTAATGATAATGAAGTGGGGAGGAAAGTCACGAGAAAATTTATTTTTAATGCCTCCTTTTTTCAATGTAGGTGCAGAGCCATTGCAGTAACAAGTAATTAACTGTAAGACACCTGGGATATTACAAATCAGTGGGAAAGCTATCTTGTAGAGCCTTTCAGCTTATCTTGCTTAATAATGATTACTGGTTCAAGGAGAGGAAAAAGAAGTAAAACTAGACAGTTGATTGCATCAGTTTTGACTAAGAATGCTGGGTGTCCTGTATTGCTGGGAGATTTGGACTTTAGAAAGAAAATGTAATGTGCTGGAAGTATTGTCAGTTATCTGTTTATGATGGGAGAAGTGGCTCAGTGTTTATATGTCTGCTAATGTGCATGTGCATGTCTCCCCTACCATGTGGTTCCTCTGCTGCCTGTGTTGCTGCTGTGTACGCCTATGCTGCACGTCTACACGGCCCTCTCCCGGGCCATTGCTCTGTGCAGGGGTCCACTTCTTTGGGTCCTCAACGTTGTACCTCCATGATAGTGGGGGGGGGACTTGGAGCCCCCCCACACACATGTCCCACATCATGATGCCCTCCCCAGGGTATACAGGGGGCGGGGGGATCCTAGCCCCGCCTCCCTCGACCAGCCCCACCAGCAGCCCCACGCGCCCTGTCCAAGGCTCTCACTCTGCCCAGGCCTCCCCCACCAACACTCTCAAAACTGTGCGACCCAGAGCTAGATCAGCTGATGAATCTGTTTCAGGCAAGAAGGTTAGTAACCAGTTAGTAAGTATTGCCCATGTCTATCTGTTCTAGGTTTAAGGCCGGCATTTTGTATTGGGAGAAAGAAGGGGAGTGGTAGAGCGAGCACTTGTAAGAGATTTTCTTGAGTGAAGTCAAGAATGGATGAATTTTTGAGCAAGTGAATCAGTAGGCAAGTGGGTGGAAAATTATGGAATGTGTGAGGTGAATGAGTTGGTGATCCAAATTCTGAGTAAATGATCTGTGGATGAATACAAATTTGCCACTGAAAATTGAATTTTTGAAATGGCTGTAATATCTGACATTACAAGGAATAATGTCTTGTTAAACAAAGTTCTAAGTGTATTCTTCCCCTCTGTTTCAGGTCAGACAGTCATCAAAAGACACAGTGGAGGACTGGGAGATACCAGTAGATGAAATCCTGATTGGTCATCGCATCGGGTCTGGCTCATTTGGGACTGTGTATCGGGGTCACTGGCATGGCCCGGTCGCAGTCAAAACATTAAATGTCCGTGATCCGACACCAGCACAGTACTCAGCCTTCAAGAATGAAGTCTCGGTACTCAAGAAAACAAGGTGGGCTGTGCTGGTTTTGGCACAAGAACTGATATAGATATTCAAAAAATTATAGAAGACTGTAGTGTATATTATTCTCATCAGGAATTGTTTACTTGAAATAATTTTATATATATATATATATATATATATATATATATATATATATATATATATATATATATATATATATATATATATATATATATATATATTATGATATTTTTATGCCTCTACAGTTCTGAAAATGTACAAAAGATGTGTGAGGTAATTTCTCATGAAAGACTTACCACCTTGAACAAACATGTCATTCTTTATTTCAGACACGTTAATATATTGCTGTTTATGGGGTGTGTGAAGACGCAGCAACTGGCCATTGTGACACAGTGGTGTGAAGGCTCTAGCCTTTATAAGCACCTTCATGTACAGGAAAACAAATTTGAACTTATGAGAATTATAGACATTGCCAGGCAAACGTCACAAGGCATGGAGTAAGTCTCGTTCTGTTTGATTAAGATAGGTGCAAATCTACTTTGGATATTGTGTTATTCCACAAGTATTTATGTGTGGGGGAATTGTTATGGAACTGTCACATGGGAGGACAATTAGAAGTGATGTTCATATTGGCAAAGATAAGGGCAGTCCACTGCTTGTGGTACTTCTGCCAAAAGTGTTTTATTATATGCATGTGTACTTAAAATACAAACATAGCACAACATAATCCATCTTCACCAGAAATGGACAAACTATGCCTTGTTGTCAACCGTTCACGTATGTAAGAACTCAGAATAGGAAGCATATTCATTGAATTTTTATGTAAATTAACTGTAGGTATATGGTATAGGTATATATAATTTTGATTTGTAATTGTATTATTCAATTCAATTAGAAGGAAAAGTTTTTCTATTTCATTAACAGTTTCAGTAAATACTTTAGAATCAGAGAAGTATGAGAGATATTTGAGACTGTTCTTTGTTTATATACAATCAGGTCTAATGCTTTTATAGAAAGGAAGGAATCTGTGTTAGTATACCCTCCCCATGTTAGAGTGTGATGCAGAATCTAATGGCTTGTAATTTTTCTTTTCAGTTACCTCCATGCAAAGAATATTATTCATAGAGATCTTAAATCCAATAATATATTCTTGCATGATGATTACACAGTCAAGATTGGTGATTTTGGTCTGGCTACAGTCAAGGTAATTATACAGTACATTTTTCATTCACTTTGGACATGAATTGTCTAGGTAAGGTATTTAGTTCTGGTGGAATGAGTGAGTTACTTGCCATTCACAGTGCGTGGCGGTTGCATACAGACCAGAGGTGTGCTGCGAGTCTATAGAGTCAGAAATGTGAAACTGGAATCTGTATCTAGAATATATATTATGTATAAAAGTTTCTTGGATTCAGGTACTATAGTTAGAGAAATGGGTGCTGGAATGGGTGCACCTTCCACGCAAGCCGTGCACGCCTACCAAGAGGAGCTGTTCCCCTGAAGCTCTCCTCCCTCCCCAGTAAATGTCTACCTTGCCTACCACCACCTCTGCTCTCCTTGTAGCCACCACAGCCACAACATTAGAGGCATTAAACATTAAAGAAGAAAAGAGGTGGAAGGACTAATATACTTGATCCTTTTTATTTTTTTTTCCTAGTTGTATTTATTCTAATTGTTTTTAAAAATGGCAGTAATGATGCAGGCAGTAGAATGGAGAGATGAGTACATTGATGTATATTAATATATCCATGAATCTTAAATGAGGAGCTCCTAAGGAATTCTGCCCTTGTATTGATTAATTCTCGATTTTCTATGCTTTTATCTTGAACATCTATATATAAGAATGACATGCTTATATTTTAGTGACTTCATGAATATGATTTTAAGCATATATTTAAGGGCAGATTTGAAGATTTGATAATGTTCGAAGGTTAGATTAGATCAGATAATTTTGGAGATTAGGTTTGGTTTTGAAGACAAAACGATCTCCTGGGAATTCAGAGCTTAACCCTTCTCTCCTTCCAGGGTGGCCGCTGGAGCCAAGAGAGCCCGGGAGGCAGACAGATTCAGCAGCCGTCTGGATCAATCCTCTGGATGGCGCCGGAGGTCATCCGTATGCAGGACGAGAACCCGTACACTTTCCAGAGTGACGTGTATGCCTTTGGGATCGTCTTGTATGAACTCTTTTCGGGCTGCCTCCCCTATTCGCATATAAACAACAAAGATCAGGTGCGTGTGTACATGGTTTGTGTCTTTGGGGCAAGAATTTGGGGGTTTCGGCAGGGAAACCTCTTGAGGATGATCAAGATGATAGAAGTTGCAAGTGCTTTTTAGAATGTGCTGGCTTTATGATGTATTTGTTATTATTAACCATGATTTACTGGAGTAAGGAGAATGATTGTGATATTTACCAGGGGTCTTCATGTCACATATATTTGACAAGGTGTTGGATAGAGTTTTGCATTTAGTACTTTGTGGATACAGTATCTCCCATTTCTTTCCAGATATTATTCATGGTTGGCCGAGGCTTTTTGCGGCCAGACATGTCCTACTTACGGTCAGATATGCCCAAGCCAATACGTCGCATCTTAGATGATTGTATTAAATACAATCGAGATGATAGACCGCTGTTCCAACAGGTATGTGAAGAAGATGCTGATCTTTTTGTATATGAATATTTGAGGAGTTTTTTTTTTTAAACAGATCACTGACATCTTTTAATGTTACTGAAGATTTAAGATACTTTACTTATGCATTTAAGCAAAATATGATTATTTTAATGAAATATTGTAAACATAAGTATGTTTGCTTACATTCTCCATTACACTCTTTTTGTCATTCTCATTGTCAATTTCTTTCTCACTGTTACTCTCCTATTTACTTATTAATTTGTCTCTCACTTATTGACTCTTACTCTCATTTTCACTCCTTTACTGCTCACTCATTTTCATTTTTACTTATGTGTTTACCTCTCTTTCATTGATTCATTCTCTTTCATTTTTATTCTTTGCATTCATCCACTCTATGCACTCACTCACTCACTCACTCACTCACTCACTCACTCACTCACTCACTCACTCACTCACTCACTCACTCACTCACTCACTCACTCACTCACTCACTCACTCACTCACTCACTCACTCACTCACTCACTCACTCACTCACTCACTCACTCACTCACTCACTCACTCACTCACTCACTCACTCACTCACTCACTCACTCACTCACTCACTCACTCACTCACTCACTCACTCACTCACTCACTCACTCACTCACTCACTCACTCACTCACTCACTCACTCACTCACTCACTCACTCACTCACTCACTCACTCACTCACTCACTCACTCACTCACTCACTCACTCACTCACTCACTCACTCACTCACTCACTCACTCACTCACTCACTCACTCACTCACTCACTCACTCACTCACTCACTCACTCACTCACTCACTCACTCACTCACTCACTCACTCACTCACTCACTCACTCACTCACTCACTCACTCACTCACTCACTCACTCACTCACTCGAAGTTGCAAGTGCTTTTTAGAATGTGCTGGCTTTATGATGTATTTGTTACTATTAACCATGATTTTACTGGAGTAAGGAGAATGATTGTGATATTTACCAGGGGTCTTCATGTCACATATATTTGACAAGGTGTTGGATAGAGTTTTGCATTTAGTACTTTGTGGATACAGTATCTCCCATTTCTTTCCAGATATTATTCATGGTTGGCCGAGGCTTTTTGCGGCCAGACATGTCCTACTTACGGTCAGATATGCCCAAGCCAATACGTCGCATCTTAGATGATTGTATTAAATACAATCGAGATGATAGACCGCTGTTCCAACAGGTATGTGAAGAAGATGCTGATCTTTTTGTTTATGAATATTTGAGGAGTTTTTTTTTTAAACAGATCACTGACATCTTTTAATGTTACTGAAGATTTAAGATACTTTACTTTATTTTAATGAAATATTGTAAACATAAGTATGTTTGCTTACATTCTCCATTACACTCTATTTGTCATTCTCATTGTCAATTTCTTTCTCACAGTTACTCTCCTATTTACTTATTAATTTTTCTCTCACTTATTGACTCTTACTCTCATTTTCACTCCTTTACTGCTCACTCATTTTCATTTTTACTTATGTGTTTACCTCTCTTTCATTCATTCATTCTTTCATTTTTATTCTTTGCATTCATCCACTCTATGCACTCACTCACTCACTCATCCACTCACACACATAGATGCACATGCACACTCACACTCACAGGATCGTATACATACATTTGAATGAATAATACACATACATGTACACAGTGTTGTGAGGGGCAGCCTGACCAATCTCTGGTTTCTTCCACAGATCCTAGCCAACTTAGAATCACTAGTACGTTCCTTGCCAAAAATACATCGTTCAGCAAGTGAGCCGACACTTACGCGCACACACCTTAACAGTGACGACATGATCTATTTGTGTGCGTCACCCAAGACACCCATCAACTCCGGCGCCTTCCCCTTCTCCATGACCGGCAACATTTAGTGTGTGCGCTTGAAGGTGGTCGCCTTGGATACCACAACAACCCTTGTTGTCCCTCCCCCCCCCAAAGGAGACTCTGCTAGACTTGTCAGCTGGCGTCCCGTGTCCTGCGTCTCGTGTCCTGGACTCTCAGCAGTTGAGCCGTCAGACGGAGTATTCCATCGCACGCCGGCAGCGGAAATTCTTCGGAGAGCCTCATCCCCTAGGCCATACCAGCTGAGTCACCACATGGAGTGCACCTCACCTAGAATCCACTGAGAAGTTCCAAACAGCTTACCTAGGCTTGCCAGCAGATTTGTTCCATGGACAATAATCTGTGTAAAGTTGTCTTAGACAACATATCCAGGCTGAATCAATGATATTGTTAAATGGACAATAATTTTTATCCTGAGTTGTCCCCAAGAGCTACTACAGACCTTACAAACTAAGCCACCCAAGGAGCCAACTCCCCAAGATCCCAGACGAAGGAGTTGCCTCACAGTGCTCCCTGGCCTCATCTACTGAGTTACATCAACTCCCCTGGTCCAACCGTATTAGTTATGTCAACTCCCTCGGCCTTATCAGTTGAATAAATTCCATCTCCATGGTTTTTATCAGCTGATTCATCAACTTGGCCTCATTAGCAGTATTGTTGACTCCCCTGGCCTCTCATCGTCATCATCATCATCATCAGCTTGTTGGTGTGTGGTGTTCAGGCATATGCCAGCTGTTTTGCATCAGCAGTGGAGGTACGTCACCACCTCAAGCCTTATAAATTATTTGCCTCGGTTATTTAGTGGACACATCAGCAGCCTTATGCCAGTTCAGACTATGGCTCCATCTACCCAAGCATTGCGCATGTTAAGGTCTTTACAATATAGTATTTCACATAATTAAGGTGATGATATCGTGTGTGATTTTTTAGTTTCAATGCGTCCTCTGTAGATGTGAATGCAAGCTACTTGTCCCAAATTGTTATGTTTACTTGACCATGCAGAAGTGTACCTAGCTACAGTTTAGAGAAACCAATAATTTGCTAAGAAGTAAAGAAGTTTGATAACTGTATTCAAGCTTTGTAAGTGCACAGCCTTATGTATAATGAAATAGCCTTTTTTAGGTCAATTTGTAAGGTTTGCTTTTATGTGCAACAGCTTGAGCAAACTAGTTTCTTTGGTTGCTCAACTGTCCTCCAAAATAAGCAGGTTTTATTCTAGTCTCAAGCGATGTCAATTCCTATCTATGGGCATGTAATAGGTTATCCAATATCTTGTATGGAACTGCATTAGGGTACAGTTTAATGCAGCAACAGAATTTTTATCACAGTGTGAGATGACTTTCTATCAAGAACTTCCCATTATTATTAGTTTTTTTAATCAAATTTACTTTTCATTTTATTTATTTGTAATTCTTTTTTTTTCAAGTACTTGCTACTATTCCCTGCCTGCTCAGACGCAATGAATTAGCGGCACAGGCCACTCGAGTCATTATCCCACGTGATGCCATCCGTGATGTATTACACCTCTGTGGTTGTCGAAGGGACTCCACGCACCACTCATGAACATTCCATAATAATGACTTGGCAATATGTCATTGATCTCCAAGTACTAATGTGATGAATGAAATGTATTTTTTTGGTGATAATATATTATTTTTTTTTGTTTTTTGTTTTTTTGATTTTATTTTACTTTAGTTTCATTCAAGGGTAGTAGTTGTAGTAGAATGCATCTGTTCACAAGGCCCAAAGAGCTCGTTTTGTATATTTCTGCCCCAGAGTATAGTCAGATTGAAATTCTTAGAGACGAGATAAATGTTTTTTAAATATGAATTTGCAGTCGTGAAAGGTTGTCTGTTGGTAAGCACTATCAAGAAATTGACATTGTCTTGATTAGCTCTACAATATAAGTACACCCAGGAATTACAAGGGAAGTGGCATGAGGTGAAAGATGTGCTTGCAATATTGCACCATTTCTAATTGGAGAACCCTTCTTGAAGCTGATTGAGAATGAGGTATACATACAAAGAACAGCTATCGGCACTATAGACCTGCAGGTAGTTGTGAAGGCCAGGGGGATTTGCATCAGTAGAGCCAGGATACTGCCAGGCTTTGTCGACATACTGGTCAGCTGTAAATAACCTTGGAGGTCACCTGCACAAGTCAACTAGGTGTGGGGAGCAAAAATTTGTGATTATGTTTTGGGGGTGGCGGATGGTCGTGTTGAAGGCAGCAGACCAGCAGGCCCTCACAGCTTCAGTTTTCCCTTGTCTCCCCCCCCCTCTCCCTTCCCCTCACCCCAGCCCCATCCTCGACCTCCCCTCCATCCCTTTCCCCCTCCCTCCCCCTCCCCTTCCATCCCCCCTCCGGATTCCATCCTGTCCATTACTTTCCTTTTTAACCTCACTTTCCTTCTCATTTCCTTACTCATGTTCCACTCCTTCCGACTGTCCCACTGTCCCCCTCCAACCCTGGACGCCACCAGTCCATGTACAGACTTCACACTGAGTGATACTGTCGTGCAGTCATCCCACGATCCATTACCATATTGTTTTATCATCATCAAAATGTTACTCTGTATCAGCTTTAACCATTTTAAAATAAAAGACGAGCTTCCTCGTATCTTCTGAATACCCTCCTTGCCTTGCACTGCGTCGCAGAAGAGCAGCCGCCTTTAATACTTGTTTCTGTCATTGTAATTTGTTCAGTGCTGTACTTTACATTATTGGCCCAGGAACAAGAGGCTACCAAGTAAAGCTGCGTGATTTTGCAAGATCCTTATGCATGGGAAATGTATATAGATTATATTTTATCATTATATATATATATATATATATATATATATATATATATATATATATATATATATATATATATATATATATATATATAAAGACAATACACAGGGGAAAGTCGACCCATGAAAATATAACGAAAAAAAGGATTTTGAAAATAAAACTGCGAAAATCATGAGATCTTCAACTTCGCAAAGCATTATTTTTTGTAATGGGGAACTTCAAACATCGAAATTCGACTTTGCACATACCCAAACACTGAAGGAAGCCAAGTGTTGCATCAGTTAAATGCAAATCGTTTATCATCCTAAAAAAATGCAATGTATGATATACTGCAAAAGTAATAACACTGATTTTAATACACACGCACACGGGCGCACAACCATTCAGAGAGAATACTGGAAGGGCTGACATGAAAATGAAAGATCTCAATGAAAAGGTGGAAGAAGCGGAAATCAAGACTGGCAACGGTAGAATTCCAAAAAAAAGTCTGCAAGAGAAAGTTGAAGTAATCAAAGCACAAGAAAATGTTAAGCAGATTGAAAGCAATTTGTCAAGGCGCCAGTCTCAGATAATGAAAGAGGCAAAAAAGATGACAGCCTTTCATACCGATGTATTGATAGTGAAGGAAACGGGAAATGAAATGGAAAGAAAAAGAAAATGACCTCAAGACCACAAAGGAATGTTAAAGTCAGTTTACGGAAACGGTAAAGAAAATTGAATCTAATAGGCAACACGCATGGAATAATAATTAGGCTGATGCAAACAGGGACATACTTATATCAGGGCATGAGGAAAAAGTTGTAGGAGATGCAATAGAACGATACAACGAGGACAAGAAACTGATTGTTAATTCTCTGACGGCCATAAATCCTGAATTCTCGGAGTAGAATGTAGCTCATAAGAGGCTGGGATTATTCGAAAATGGAAAGACACGACCTTTAAAAGTGACATTCATGAATAAGGAAATGGCAACTGACGTAATAAAGAAAGCTAAAGTCCTGACCACCTGCGAAGAATATAAAATCTGTATAAGAGAAAATATGACTAAAGATGACAGAGAAATACTGCAGAAAAAATGGAAGGGGTAAAGAACAAAAATGAACAAAGGACTGAAGAAGAAAACAAAAGGCCTCCAGCAAAACATGTCTGCTGTCGGAAACAACATGAAGAATCAGTCAAACATTAGCCTTGCAACCTAAAGGATTACCCAAAGTTTATATATAAACATTAGGACTCGGACTATAATATCTGGGGAAGAGATGGGCAAATGGAAACGGAGGAGGGTAGCAATATTAGCAAGGGAAGGAATTGTTACAGAGTTATAGATTAAGCAAGACCCCACAGTGGAACTAAAGGCAATTGAGGCAGAAACAAACGGTGTAAACATAATAACCACACTATACATGCCACCTCATACATCGGTGTGGTCACAAGAAAATTACCAAAAACTAATTTATGAAACGTTAAAGGGCATAGAAAAGAAATTCTTGTAACAGGGGACTCTGATAGCAAAATTGACTGGGATAGTTTCGATCCAAGATCAAAACCAGATTCGTGGAATGGGAAATTATTACAAGCCATAAGTGAGGATTGCGTCTTCAAAAATATAACGGATCATGCCAGGGCGAGAGGGCTAGGTAGACCGTCTATGCTCGACCTAATATTCACAAAAGATAACATTAAGGATATGGAGTGCTGTCGAAGAGGGACTATGTTGTTATTAAACTAAAATACTGTCTGCTACAGGAAAAAAAACATATCTTAAGTAATGAAAGAAAGGGGAAATACAATTACAAGAGAGATAATTATAGAAGCTTTAAAGATTTCTCTGATGGCATAAACTGGGAAACAATACCGGACGAAGAGAACATTGATATACAACGTTAAAAAATTAGCGAATCCTCTAAGAAAGGAGTAGACAAATTTGTATCAGGAGTCAAGACTGAAGCAAGAAATGACCAAAAGTAGTTCAATGATATAATGCAAGAAAATGAGATGAAACAAGCAAATTGGCGCCATCAAAAATAATAACATTGTTTATACTCAGGAGGAGGAAATGTGTGAAATCCTTAATGAGAAATTTCAACCAGTCCGTCTAAGACAAACGCAAATCAGAATATCGCAAATATTACACTCAAAAAGAATGAAATGGATTTCGAACCGAGTCCTTAGGGATTGTGCCGAAGTAATGTGTACTCCCTAACTGATAACGTTCTAAAATTGAGTGAGACAGGGAAAACACCAAAAGCTTGGAACCTAGTCAACGTTACACCTTAAATATAAGAGCGGCGACAAACAAATCCCTCTAAATTACAGACCAGTTAACCAGTGTAATATGTAAGCTGTTAAAAGAGATACTTAAGAAACAGGAGGTTCAATTAACATACTTGAAAACCACAACATGCTATCAAATAAGCAATTTGGAAGGTCATCTATAGCAAATCGTTTTTATGACAGAGTTTCTGAAATTTTACAAGAAAGAGACGGCTGGGTGGATAGTGTATGCTTAAGACTTCAAAAGGTCATTTGATAGGTGTCTCATAGAAGACTATTATGTAAATTAGAACACCTAGGTGGAGTGAAAGGCAAATTCTCGAACGGATGAAAGAAGCACAGCTATTGAAGGGACTCTACATGGCGACGACCAATTAGCAGGGTAGGGTACCTCAAGGATCTGTCTTGGCGCCGATTATGTTTACTGTTTTCACCAGTGATTTAGGGTACAACATAAACCCGGGTAGTTATCTGAATATGTTTGCAGACGGCGCGAGAATACATAAAAGGCTAATAGACGTCTCCTGCCAATGTATCCAAAGTAACATGGTAGTAACTTATTCATGTTCAAAAAGTGTCATGTAGTCAGGTTCGGAGAAAGTAAAAATCGTCCCTTATACCATAACAAATTAGAAGACGCAGTATTAAACTCAGCAGATAGGGTAAAGGACTTAGGGATAACCTCTGACATGAACTTAAACCGAAATTATCATATAAATGAAAGGGTTCATAAAGTTTAGGGCTGCTTACCATGGATGAAGAGGGCATTCATGTTTGTGGACAAACGCGTCTAGTGCTTGTCAGCGGTGGTCGACCTTCCCGATGCCCGATAATGCACCATTAAGCCACGTTGTGTATGCATACTTTGCTGTATAAAGTAGGGGACTATTCCACACTAATAATCTTGAAATATTGATAATAGTTACTTTATAAGGTGTGTCCTCACATCAGAACGATCTACTTTAGAGTTATTTGTGTAGTTACACGTGGCATATGCACTTAGTTAAAGCTTCTATTATGTATACATCCATCCATCCATCCATCCATCCATACACTGACAAGCAAGCAGATATACGGGGACAGGGAAATGTGGTATAGTGACAGTCAAGAGTTGCTTTGTTGCTGGGGAGTAGCTCGTGAATCTATCGAAGTAACTTGTAAGGGGTCGCAGCCAAAAGCGTTGGAAAACCCCTGACCTATAGTACGGCGCTGTAGTATGGAGTCCACATTTAAAAAAGAAATATGGACAAACTGAAAAGAGTTAAAAGCCACAAGATGGGCACCTACCGAAGAGGTATGGGCTACGAAGAAAGACTAAATAAAGTAGGACTAACTTCTTTGGAAGAAAGAAAGAAAAGGAGTGATATGACAATGCTGTTCAGCTATGTTACAGGAAGGCGGAAGTTTGATAAAGATGACTTCATAATTCTGAACAGAAGAAAGACGAGAGCTCAGGGTATAAAAAATGAGTAAAAAGCTGCGATAGAGATGTCAAAAAATTAGTTTCCCAAACAGAACTACTGAAACAGGGAACAATCTCCCAAATAACGTGGTGTGTGCCGACATTTTAAAAAGTTAAACGATAATTCAAATATAGCAGACGGGAAAATCTGAGCTTAGCTCTTCTCCCGTACTGGAACTAGGTAAGAACTGGGTAAGAACACACACAGACACACACGTACACAACCCCCCCCCCCCCCCCACACACCCACCCACCCACACACACACACACACACACACACACACACACACACACACACACACACACACACACACACACACACACACACACACACACACACACACACACACAACCCCCCACCCCCACCCCCCACCCCTCCCACACACAAAGATGCATACACATATTCCAAAATATAGCGCACCCTGCCCCTCCCCTTTCGGACAGCCAGATAGCCCCAGTTATTCCAAGATAATCCCAGATATTCCCAAATATTCCCAGATATTCCAGCAGGAAAGGATCCCAAGGCCTCGTCTCTGCTTCCGCGTTTTCCTACCAACTTCCTGCTGGAGAGTGAGGCTTCCCTCGGGCCGTCGCTGCTGTCGGGACGCTATTTCTTACTGCTAGTGTTATCAGCATTGCCATTGTTGTTATCGGTATAGTTATTACTGTTATCGTTAGCATTATTATTGATATTATGATCATTATCATCATTGTTCTTATCATCACCATCATCAGTACATCATCACCATTATTATCATCATCATCATTATCAGTACATCATCATCATAATATTAATAATAATAATGATAATAATAATAATAATAATAATAATAGTAATAGTAATAGTAATAATAATAATAATAATAATAATAATAATAATAATAATAATTATTATTAATATTATTATTATTATTATTATTATCATCATCATCATCACTATTATTATCATTATCATCATTATTGTTATTACTGCTATTATTATTATCATAATCATTAATAATATTATTATTATTATTATCACTATTATTATTATTGTTGTTATTATTATTATTATCATTCTTCTTCTTCTTATTATTATTATTAC